TTTGTGGCAGTCGTATAATCCTATATTGTAGCACACAGAAGCTCTGCCCTTGAAGGAGGACGATGCTGCATAGTATAGAACATCGCGGAAATGCGTCGTCGCTGGAACTCGTGACTGAGCCAAGTGCACACATGACACACGACGCTACAGCCATCCCATATATAAGCGTACTCGCACGCATACACACAGCTGACAGCGGCTTACAATGCACACTCCACGCATACACACGTATACACACAAAGAGTTTTGCAGCTGCAGCCAGCACAGCTGAGGGCGCATGCGTGCGAGCTTTTTGCAGTCCTGGACCAGGAATGCTAAGCGGGTCGTTTGAATCGTTCGCTCGCTCGTTGAGCGGCTATACGCGTGCATATATGCATGCACACGTACGCGAGTTGTGAGTTGTGTATGTGTGTGCGTGCACGTGTGTGAGATGTGCATATAGGCTCAAAGACGATCACAGGACGACACGATTTCTCCGTCATACGATGTGTGACGACAACGACGACTACGACTATACAGCGACAACTACGATTGTCCCTGATGCATGTGTAACTGCATCGAGTGTGTGTGTATATAGCCCGCGGCTTATTTCGCATGAGTCGCGCTCGACCGGTTGATCACTATGGAATTTGTAGCTCAATTAAATCCATCACCCCGTCTCTCTCTCGCTCTTTCTTTCTTTCGCTCTCTTTCTCGATCTCTTTTGCTTTTCGCGCGAGATTGTTTTTTGCGCGCTATTCTCAACGAGATCTGAGTCGCTGCTCTATACACACACACACACACACATGCAGCGTGTATACAAATGGATGGATATGAACGTTGGCGATCATGCGTGGAGCTGTAATTGCCACTTCCCATGCCTGCATAATCGTCATTCTTCGTGTGGCTGTCGCGCGCATCTGGAAAACGGCCTGTATTTCTTTTATCGGCATCAAAGAAACCAATGCCAGTATGGATACAATGTGTATGAACGTGTGCACTGTAGGCGTACGATCAGGTAGATCGTCAAGCGAATTTATAACAGCTTCAGCAAACTGTTATACAAATATCGCGAAGCAACGATTCAGTTTAATGTATGACGAAATCCAGGAAATTTCGAACTGATACGAAATTTTGCGATAACTTCGAAAATACTTGGAAAGAGTGCTCTGATATCCAAAAAATGAGTATTAAAAATGTTTTAAAGTACACTGCCATGGTATTGATTTGTTTTTGTCGATTTTTGCTTCAATTTTATTACAAATATAAAGCGCATTTTAAATTGACTGAAATGACAACTGAAGTGTTTCAAAAAATACAGTCCAGTTTTCAAATACGATAATTCCACTTTAAGCTTTCACCAGTAGATGGCGAGTGCCGTATATCCGCATATACCTGCAAGTAGAAAAGTAAAAATAATTGTATATTTGCAAGTGAATTTTGAATGAATATAATGGCGATATGGTGTACTTAAATACATAGTTTTCCGTATTCCAACACATAATATTATCGAAATTAGGATTTTTTTCTGTGATCCTAAAAGATGCATAATTACTATAAAAATAGAATCGATCTTTATTGATATATCATTAAAATTATGTAAAACCTGCTATAGTTAAGAGAATAAAAATTTCACACTTTATCGCTTCTCTTCTTTTCGAACTTGAAGATCTCCGCTCCGCGCGACAGTACTAGAACTCGAATTATTATATTACCCATAGCGAATCGAAGCGCACATCACGCTGCGAGCCCTCCGAGGATCATTTATCCAGGGGAGAATTACGACTGGTTTATCCGATTCTGCACGCGCTAGTCCGCATCCACGTTTGTAAGCAGCGGCGACTGCAGCTCGTCTATATAATAGTATAAACTATCGGGAGGCTCGTTGTATCGGCCGCGCGATGTCGCGTTCGCGAGCGAGCGAGCACTTGAATTTTTATTTCGCATCAGCTTTTTTTCCTTTCATCTTCTTCTATACTCGGCGCTACGCGAACTGATTAAAAAGAATGACAGGCGCTGCTCGTGGCAAGCAGCGCAGAGAAAAATATACAGTTAGAAATGACCGTTATCGCGACATTTTTTGCGATACGCACGTCAAATATGTTTGCACACACGTACGCGGTCCGTATACATATACATATACTCATTCCCAGGGTGTGCAGCAAGCCGATGACGCCATATATAAGCATTCATATATATCTTATAGGCTACACGGAAAGAGAGCTATTAGAAAATGAGCGAGAGAGAGAAGACATTTGACGACCGATTATAAAACTTCGAACAACGTGCATGAGCGCTCGACTTGAAAAAAAAAGAAGAAGACCTGCGTGCATGAGTATTCGGAAAGGCGCATAAAACCCGATAAAAAAAGATTTTAGATTATACAGCTACATGAGCTGGCCAAAAGCTAAAGAGCTGTATTATATACATGTAATTTTTTTGTGAACCACGTGCTACACAAGCAAGATTCATATTTTTATCGTGAGCTATTCGCTGTCCGCGACGATATAATATCATAAGACATGGTGTCGCGTTGATTTATCATTGCCGGAGAAATTCACTACTTCATAAATTATATATAGGGAGGCCCTTAAATATGTTGCAAGGTCCTTCTCACGCGTAGTAGCAGCAGCAGCAGCAGCAGCGATCATTTAAACGCGACGCGCATTGCCCCGGAGTCCTGCGATCCTCGTCGTCGCATCCATTTGAAGTTGCGATCATTCGGTTTTTTCTGCCTTCGAGAGGAGCGCGAGCGACAATCCTCTCGACCGGCAGCAGCAGCAGCAGCAGAGGCACGCCAAACGCGAAACTTTGTTGGCCAACACATGCCTATGCAGCGATCCTTTGCCTCGCGCGCGCGCATCCATATACGCTTATACATACACTTGCATACTTATAATCTGTCTGTGTGGTGACGAGCGGGGCATCAATTTTTATCTTATTTGCAGGCAGTTCGCGGGATCGGGGCGGATTTCGGTCGTCGCGTTGGCTTTTCGTCGAAACGAGTCGTGGAGGAGAGCAGCAGCAGCAGCAGCGGCATCATAAAAACAGAAATTAATTCTTGGATTTGAATGGCTACTGATTTATAATATGGCCGCGAGCGTATGTGTAGGAATTGTCGTGCATAGCTGCCTCGAGTTGACGATTTCTCATATGCGTTGCATAATACGAAGAAACCTGACGCGTATACAACGTCTCTCTCTCTCTCTCTCTCTCTCTCTCTCTCTCTATAAAAGATAGCGGCGACCGATTTTGCTCACGATAGCCATGCTCATTGGCGAGTTTTTACTATTGTATATTAATTACGGACAAAATTACAAGTTCCGAGGTGAAAAACGAGTACACGTGCATTATCAGCGTGCTCATCTATATACGCGATTGGTCAAAGTCTGTAAAAGCGCGTATAAAAGTCTTGCGCGATAGGACCCAATTAAAGATTTTTCAACGCGACGCGCGGCGCGATCGCAAAAGAGAAAAAGACGTATCGCGCTTATAAGTATATACGACGATCGCGCCGTATTTATTATAAAAATACTAGGCGCGCTCGACCCGCTGCTGGTTCATTAACGCGTCGCGGCAGTGCACGCTTACGTATACATTGTGCATTCATCCGTATACGTGTGCCGCGCACTGCACTCTTCCAGCCAAGCAGCTCAAATGTCATTCTAATCTCATTTTTTAGGTCTCGCTTCGTCGTCGACAGCAGCAGCAGCAGCAGGACCTAATTAGCCTCGTATATAGTTTTTCTGCGTCCCCCAAGAGCAGTCGCCATACCGCGCGCTCGTTTACCGCTCGGTCGCTTGCCCGCGCTGCTCTTGAAAAGGATTATAAACGCGCCACATGCGGCTGCAGCGCGAGATCGATCGATCGGTAATTTATCCCGCGCCAAGTTTCACTTGCTGCGCATTCAAATATGGACCGATGCGACAAAAACGTGTATGATATTTACTATGCCGAGTAAGAGAAAGAGAGAATCGAGCTTTCGATGCGTGCAGTACCGCTGGCTACCATTTTTAATAACTACTGCTGCCTATGCTCAATGACACTAGATGTTTGTATCGTTGTTGCGATACTTGAGCTGCATATAGAAACGCGGTAGTTTTTTTTTCAAACTCGTTGAATGACTGGACGTGTGCGTGTGTGACGCCAGGACCTTCTCATTACGAGATTTACCGTATACCCGCCTACTCTATAAGATGAAAAAAGAAAAAGTTAAGGACAGATATTTGCACATATTGAGTACGAGAGAACTGGTGAATAGCGCTGCTCGTGAGACAACAAAAGTTAGGATACTTGCATTTATTAAAATTTATTAAGAAAGCCTGGTCTGGTAGAAATTAAGAAATACTCAATATCAATAATGGCCGAATGACCGGAAAAATATCATTTAAAGTATTTTATAACAATTCAATAGAAATTTTAAACGAAGATCCTTACGTATTCTATTGGTTGACATCAATAAATTACATTTGTTTTTTCTTATTATTGCTCTCTCATAGAGGAAGTTATGTGATAAGCTTGAAAATGAGATTTAGAACCAGACGTCGTAGGAAAATTTGGAAATACATTGAATTGCCAACAAATGTCTGTATGCATGTTTGCCTTCTCGGTCTTCTGGCTAAGATAGAAGTGTAGTCAGTAGTGTCTTTTCAAGGGAATCTTCTTACACGAAATTCTAGAAATCTTTAAGTTTTTTTGGAGTTTCGTATACAAAAGTGAAAACTGTAGCATACGAATTTTCCCTTCAATAACTAAACACTTTTAGTAATACAAATTTTTATGAGGAAGCTCTTTGCCAATTAATTGGCAGCGGTTTTTGATATGCGATCAATAACTTTAATCCCATTAACAAATCGTGGTAACAAATATGCACATAGAGATAGTTTACATCAAATTATTAATAAAATAATCGAAAATCATTTTTCTAAATTATACATTCGATTTATTTAAGTGGTATAAAAAGTCTACAAAAATTGAATAAAAAAATACATAAACAATGAATGGAAAAATGTTTAACGCCATCACGAACTCTGTCTTTCAGCCGCCAAGCAAATATTATATAAATCTTCGTTTTTCAATGGCTCGATGATCATTTCACAGCAGAGAATCGGCAGTCGGTAATGTGTCAGCTCAATGAAAGGTTCAAGTGCCCAACTCAAGAAAAATTTTCTCCATAATTTCTCGAATATATTTACTAAACAAGCTTCTCTGAGCCTTATACTGAGTTTATCCAATTTTTCCGAGCATCCAAACTCCAAGTAGTTCGAATGTGTGACTATTTTTCCACCTGTTTCGGGTCGTAACTTCATAAGGTCGTAGAGCGACAGGTCCGGCCTCATCATTATATTTTTCGCTTTTTCGAACTCTTCATCATCAAACCGATGCTCGAAAAGATCGGACGAAATCTCAAACAATCTGTAGTCGGATAATTCTTTCATGATCGTCAGGGCGTCGCTTCGATACAGTTCGTATCCTCTTTTCTCTAGTTGTTCGATGACTGCCAGAAGATTACAGGTTTGTCTCAAATTGCGATGAAGTGAATCGCGTGTCCACAGACTAAATCTCTTGCCGAACTTGGAGCACGCGAAGTAACTCTCATCGGGAAAAACGAAGCTGGACATATCAGCACCATGATCCAAGAGTATACCGACCAAATTTGGATAAAAATTAGCTACGGCCCATTGCAACGGTGTTCGACCCTTCTCGTCTCGAGCGTCGACCTGCACCAGTTGATGTTTTTCCTTACTGATCTCGAATAAAATGTTCACCAAGTCATCTTTGTCACGACGATTACGAACTATAATGTGCAGAGGTGTCGATCCTTCCGCATTGGTTGAATTCGGATTCGCGCCTCTTCTTAGCAGCAATTCAGCCATCTCGTTGGTTTTCATGTAGAAAAATTGCATTGCCAAGTGCAAAGGTGTGTTGCCAAATTTATCCTGGACATCGACCTGCACCAACTGTTGTTTTTCGTCGCAAATTTCAAAAAACATTTTTATCAAGATATCGTTGTATACATTGTAGCCGTTCTGGTAAAAATAATGCAGAGGAGTCGAACCATCCTTGTTGGCCATATTTGGGTCTGCGCCATGTCTCAATAGCAATTTGACTACGTCATACTTCTTACAGTTTCGAATGGCCAAGTGTAGCGGCGAATCGCCTGTCTCTGGCACTAGTAGGTTGGGATCGTGGCCGAACCCAAGAAATTTTTCGATGGCTTCATAACAGCTAAACTTACAGGCCATATGGAAATGTGTAAGGCCAGACTCGTCAGTGTAATTAACGTCAAACCTGTCATATATTTTAAATAGGTCACTGACTGTATAATAATTGCTGTTGGTTAGCTTTGCACGATGGATTGGTGTAGTGCGACGTGGCGATGGCTTGCCATCTTTATCAACGTCGGGCTCATCCTTGTAGCCGGCTTTGATCACAATATTCGTGATAGTCAGTCCTGAGAAACGTTGGTCACAGTTATAGCTACAAGTAATAGAATGCGAGAGGAGAAGTTCAATTTCTTCTTTTTGAAAAAAGTTTCGTATATTTGGTGGATGTTTGAACGTCTGTAAATAGTAGTTTAAAGTGTCTAGTCGACGAAGCAATTCTTGTGTCATATTTGTTAAGCAATCTTGATTGTATTGAACTATTTTTCAGCACACTCACAATTGAACGTAATATAAAATTATAATATTTTCACTTGATGCACGAATATCACTTGCTGGAATCGAGGAAATTTATTCTTGATGTTCACGCTGCGACGTCGTAACCTGCACTGACTACGATTTTCTTCAGAAAGTAAAAAATACATGGTCGAAGCTATGAGAGATACAGTAGCTATGTGTACGTTAAAGTCGGTATTAGAAAGCGTATATCAAGCGTAATAGGAGCCAGTCGTCATGACTGAGCATAGGTGTCGCCCCTACTTCACTGAACTTACGCTTTCTAATTCAGTGACTCTAGGCTTATAGTTGAGCGCAAACGAACACAGCTCGAGAAAGTTAGAAGTAAAAATGACACGTTATATAGCTATATATCGACGCTTCAATGCTCAAATGCACAGTTGGATTAAAATTTACACTTTTAGTTAGTGGCCAACAGATGATCTATAATGCAGCAAGTTCGGTTTCGTTGATTATTCCATTCCCATTAAGTCCCAAGAGGACGTTTTTTTGACACTAATTTCGGTCGCTGTATTTTTGATGAAAAAGGGGTCAAAAAAATATGCTAGTAGCCTGTTCTTGTGTAAAATTTAATGCACTTTTGGAATCTGAGCTCAGATTTTCGAAAAAATAATCAGGTCAAAAGTTATGGTTGATTTTATCCAAAAAAAGCGTAATTTTGAAAAAAACATTTTTTTATCATTTGATTTTCCAAATAGAAAGCATTTGAAATCTCATGGTTTTCGTACAAATATCGCGTCCTCGATGTCTAAACTAAAAGTTAGAGGGGTTCCGACTCGACAAATTAATGTTTAAACAAACAAAATGGTGGTCGGAACGCAAAAAAATGAAAAAAAACTTCTAGAATTTTCAACTCGAAAACGAAGGACTTGAGGAAAAAATTTTATAGAACAAAAAGCGTTTAGAATTAATCAAAGAATACGTGTGAATTTTTTTTCAGAATTTTCGGATCGATTTTTGGATTTTTGGATATCACCATTTTTCCGAAAATCCAAAAATGGTTCCAAAAATTCTGAAAAAAATCAAGCGTGTTCTTTGATCAATTTTAAAAACTTTTTGTTCCATAACTTTTTCTCGTAAAGTTGATGGTTATCGAGTTAAAAATTCTTGAACGTCCTCAGACAAAATCAAAAATCAAAAATGAAACCGAACGTTCAAGAATTTTTAACTCGATAACCATCAACTTTACGGGAAAAAGTTATGGAACAAAAAGTTTTTAAAATTGATCAAAGAACACGCTTGATTTTTTTCAGAATTTTTGGAACCATTTTTGGATTTTCGGAAAAATGGTGATATCCAAAAATCCAAAAATCGATCCGAAAATTCTGAAAAAAAATTCACACGTATTCTTTGATTAATTCTAAACGCTTTTTGTTCTATAAAATTTTTTCCTCAAGTCCTTCGTTTTCGAGTTGAAAATTCTAGAAGTTTTTTTTCATTTTTTTGCGTTCCGACCACCATTTTGTTTGTTTAAACATTAATTTGTCGAGTCGGAACCCCTCTAACTTTTAGTTTAGACATCGAGGACGCGATATTTGTACGAAAACCATGAGATTTCAAATGCTTTCTATTTGGAAAATCAAATGATAAAAAAATGTTTTTTTCAAAATTACGCTTTTTTTGGATAAAATCAACCATAACTTTTGACCTGATTATTTTTTCGAAAATCTGAGCTCAGATTCCAAAAGTGCATTAAATTTTACACAAGAACAGGCTACTAGCATATTTTTTTGACCCCTTTTTCATCAAAAATACAGCGACCGAAATTAGTGTCAAAAAAACGTCCCCTTGGGACTTAATGGGTTAAACGTGTATTTATCGATCAATGTCAATTGACTGTAAAAAAGTAGGTATCGATGAAATAATTATAAATTATTTAGTACACATTCTCGCGCAGTAGATCCATTTTTACTGCTTGCGCCTCTTCGCATATCTTTCTTTTCTTTTAAATAAAATAGCTAAAAGCTGTGCGTAAATCATTTTTACTTATTTTATTTCTCGGACGTGCTTTGAATATCAATTAAACATTTACGCAGTTTCATGCTGCGATAGTGGGGTAAAAAAAATATTAGAATTATATCCTGGCTTGATTTAAAACGGACGATTTCGACCAGTCTCCAGAGATATAGCGAGCGAAACGTTCTGAAAACAAATTGGCACTTGATTCACTGCTGTGCTCAATTGGAGCGTTTCCCATATCGGAGTCGCGAGCCCGCGCGGGCGCAATGATTTATCTGTAATGAATTGGTTTCGTAGTGGCGTTTGGCGCTTGGAGCACGCGACAGCACAAGTGTAAAAAGTAATCGCTTGTAATATTATTGCAGGTTGCCTAAAATCTCGACCTGTGGGAAATGGCGCATTGTCATAGGTGTAACGTCTATCGGAGTAATTCACAAAGCTCGCGCCCGATACGTCGTATCGAACGAGTATACAAGTTCGCAGGTACGTAATATTCATGTAGAAATTTTTTTCCACGCTCTTGCATATAGCTGACGGCGGTTTCGCATTTATATATGTACGGCGCACAGCTACCGCTGAGTAAGTAATTAAAGTGACGCTTGCACAGCTCGCTCGCGTAGATATATACGTGGTGCACATACGGGTATGTACACGGGCGTGTGTGCGCGAGCTTGACGCGTTCGACAAAAAAATCCTGCCGGCCTGCACGTAAAAACGCTCAAGGTGCAGCGCTCTCCGCTACTGCGGAGCTGTATTGATTTCTGACGTCGAAACGAGTTTGCCCAGCCATACGTCTATCTTTGCCATAAAAATATACTTACGATTGTTTTCATTATACATGTATAATGAGTTTAGAAATTCTGTACAGTTAGTTTCGCTTTTTTAAATTTAAATCAACGAATTTTGCAGCTTGAATAAAAGAAAAATCGTACAATTATTACAGTACGGTGGATCGTTGAATCAACATTCGTATATCTTCGTATCATTTCTATACACATTTACGGCCATAACGTATTAAAAAATACCTTGAATCATCGTGAGAAAACTTACTTTTCATGTGATCCATACCTGGACTAAAAGTAAACGAGCTGCATTGCTTTATAACGATTATGGAGGTTGCTAAATGAAAAAATAAAATAACGAAAATCTATATGTGTAAGTTTACGGACAAACATTTCTGAAAAATTTTAATGATGAAATGACGGCTTTTACCAGATACTTCTTATTCTTCTATCTAATAAATAAATTGTAAACTATATGTCAAGCTTGCTCACGATAGAAAAATTCTCAGTAATCAACGTCTAGTCAAATAGCAAAAAATAAAGCTTTATGTGCAGCAATAGTTGCATTTATTTTGCGAATTACACCGTAAACTTTACGATAATATAATCTTTTCATTAATTTAGTTTTATCACAGCATTAAAAATTATATAATTTTACCTCAATATTATATTACTTGAATAACATTTGATTAAAATGTAAAACGATAAATATGATGAAATTACAACGATTTTAAAAAAGTATTAAAGCTAGTTAAAAACTTCTTAAATTATATTTTCATGAGTGAACAATGACCGTATGAAGAAAAACGTATGAAAAATATGATTTCGAACCGAAGTATTATTCAAGATTTCTCGATTCCAGCGTGACGCATTAAAAAGGGGAAAAATAAAAGTCGCTCGTGCTCGGTGTAACGTATATAGAGAGCGCGAGTGATAGAATGACAGTTGAAAGAAGGAGGAGGAGGAGGAGAGGAGGAAGACGATAAGAAGGGGAAGTCGCGAGAAGAGATCTAGTCTCTCACCAGGCGCATGGTATAATGCACGAGTGAGTGTGAGAGAGAGCGAGAGAGTAGGGATTTCTCACTGGACCAATGGGGAGGCTGGCCTCGTATGCAAACTACGCGACCGCCTCCGCCTCATCGACTATGCAAAGCCTCGCGAGAGCTCGTGCTCGTCGTCAAGAAATATTCTTCAGACTCCGCCCCTCCGTTCGAGATTCTCTTGCACTGCAGCTCATTGCTTCGTGTGGTGGGTATGCACCTTATAAACGCAGTACACTCCGTTTTTGGATCATTTGTCCTTTTCGATTGACATTACTCGAGTTAATTTATACGTATATAAAAAAAGAGAAGCTTTGATAGATAGGCAAGACACGTTCGCTATTATGAATTCGAGAAAGACACTTGCGTTCTAGAACGGAGCAGGTGGCTCGAGGAAAATCGAAACGTCAAAGGGTATTTAGCATAAACGTGGGAACAGCCAAGGTTTATCTGCGTCTCTTTTTCTCTTTTAATTGTTTTAATTAGTTCGGCATGTAAGCTGCGGCTATAAACGGTCACAGATACCTTGGAAGATTATACATTGTTTGATGATTAATACGCATTTATTTATGATCCATCGTGAAACATTTTCTCGAGGCATTGTGTAAATATTGTTTAGCATTGAGTTTGAAGCATTATTTTATTTATAGAAAAGTCAACGCCATAATTTTGAATAAGTCCTAGCTATTCGAAAAATGTAGGTTTTTCTCTCGCACGCGCAGCACCTTGACTGACCGCAGGTATCATAAGTTTCGTGCAGTCGCAGTCTATGTACTCTCGACGTTATACGAGAGAGAATTCTCGTAAATCGATTGCGCGTTTCACATGTCAATAATAACAAATATGGAGCGAACACGACGCGATGCGCTGGGCTGCGCGAGCTGCAACGACGAACGGGACCAGCGATGCGCAAAAAAAAAGTGTGCGTAAATATTAGGCGACTTATCGAAAATGCATTTGATAAAACTTACAACGCGTCGAGTCTCGGCTCTGCTCTCCTTTTTCCATGTTTGCCGATGTCTGAAATGAGCCGCTCGACGCGACGTGCAATAAAACGTGCGCCGTATAGCGCACCGTGTGACATCGATGATGTTCCTTCCGTATAATATAATGTACGCGAGATACATATAATTTTATACGTGCTACATACTACCGCTAGTCCCGTGTTTTTTCCTTCCTTGTCATTTGCTATAGGATTTATTAGATAATATTA